TTCAAATTTCAATAGTAGATAAGCTGCTCCGAGGCCAACGCCAAAGATCAATCAACACACAGCTGGCTAAGGCGGTTACAAGGCTTCTTTCAAGCGAAAGGGGGACGTGTAAATTGAGAACCATATCTGTGTAGTACTAGAATTTGGTAAGTCTTGTGGAAGGAAATAAATAAAGAAGAGATGTTGTCATAGTATGCCATTTTTAGTGACTAGTTTGTCGTTTTTTGCTCCGTTTCTCGTTTGCTCGTTTGGTAGGACTCATCAATAATGATCATTCTTTGACTTTTTCACTTTTGTACTTCTTAAACGAATTTTTTGGTGGACGGTGGGGTAGCAGGGCTTTTTTATGAACAGTTTTGGGGGAGAATTAAACAACCTTTTCATAGTTCGGCTTTTGAAGAGGGTCGTTTCATGGACTTCGGCCTCTCGGGGAGGGAGGGGGGTCGTATTTCCAAATTTTCCTCGACGGTTCGCTTGACCCTGTCCCCCACCCCTAATCAATGGAAGAATGCTAATCCATCGTTGGCATTTTTGCAAATGTATGACAGTGACTTACTATATTATATTTGTTGGGATAGGTCTGCCACCAACTGATAGACAGTGGAGGAATATGATACTTACCTTTACTGTGTAAGGTTCGATCTGGAATTGGGCCTCTGTAGTATAGGATGGGAAGCCGCTCGCCGCTGTACCGCCTCTGCCTTCACCTTCACTTGATATGAATTAAAAAGTAAAATATTTGCAAAGTAGTGGCATAAACTCTGTGAAACCCAGAACTAAAGAGGATGGATTGCTGAAGAGCTCGAGGTCGGGATTCATCTGCAATCTGATAAGTTTACTTTACTCCCGAAAGTTGCACTACCATGTGGATGAGTTCTTTGTACAGTCAGACTGATGCCTGACTATAATAATCGCGAAGGATCTGTTTGTATTTCTTCGCACTTCCTTTCAAAATTTATTTAAACTGAATGCGGACCAAACGTTGTCTATTGTGTCAGCTTGTTCCTATGTTGACTCAGACGCACCATCCAGTTACAGGTTGTGACACGAGAGTGCTGACATAATCCTTTTCCGTGATTCTCCAGCTATCCTATTGCTCTTCAGGTTGTATGAATTTTCATACCTCTAATTGTGTTTTCTTATTGCTCTGTGAAGTCTATCGTGGCGAGTCATGCCATCTGCTCTTTTTAGCTAGTGGGCTCATGTCCTTCAGCCGAACTCGAGTGCCAGCACAAGTATGTGTGAATATGGATGCGCCTTCCGTACGTACAAGGCTTCTCACTCCACCTCTCAACGAAACGAGTGACTACTCTTTCATATACATATCGATTGTCGTAACAGTGAGTTCTGCTTCTTTCAACGAACTGAAAATGGGTTTTTTTGAATATACCCACGCATTCGACTTTCAGTCACAATCGCATAAAGGTACCAATAGGTAATACAGCCGCTCATGCACTTCATTTTTCTGCAAGTATCCAACTTCTGACGGCTGCAGCACTTGTCTTGGCCTGTTTTCTCATCAGTAGCTGGTAAACTCCAATAATTCAATGTTGTCAGTTGCTAATTCACCATCATTCGCTCGCATCGCTCCTCGTCACTGTTAATACAATTTCACAGATAGCTCTCAAAAACTTGAGCTTTTTGTAGGCACGGCCTATAACATGGCCGTAAAAAGTTCCATCCAGATGACGGGTGAGAGCACGATCTTTCATCACACCCTGGTATACCCAAAGTTTTTTTCTAGATTCCCGAATCCATGAGAGCGTAGTTTACGATAGGTTCAGGTGGATGGATTCATCCAGTGAGTAGGTTAGACTTGACCACGAGTGTTGTGAGTGTGCCGTTTTCGCGACGCCACCATGCTCGGCAAGGGCAGTAGGACTTTCACAATTTTGAAGCCAATGGTAGAAAATGCCGAACTATCGATGAAGCATCACCTGTCTGTGATTGGAAAGGTGATCGTCGCGCTTTGTTCCTGACATGGTAATAGGCCACAGATCTCCTCCACTGAGGGTCCTCCTTTCAACGAAGGACTTCCAGTCGATGACTGGTGCGCTTTGGGGATTCCCGTTTAGTATACTGCATGTCAGCGCAGCAAAATTTCGCAAACAAATGACAGGAAAGTTATTAGGTTGTTCTATCTGCAGTGCCGTTTTTTTTCAGTGGAAAATTTTCCTGGCAACTGGCAAAATGGAAAGCAAAACAGTCATAGAATCTGGCGAAATCAATCAGGCAAACATTTCGAATTTAGCCAGGCCTGACAACAATTATTATCGCTCCACGTCTTTCGTCGGCTTCTGGAACACTTTTATCGAAGACATCAACGAAAGTATATCGGTTCATTGAACACCTCAATGATAGTGCTACTGTTCCAGAGAATGAGGAAGTGCCAAAAGACGTAACTCTCTGGAAACCATTGGGTTGTAGTCAAAGTGAGCCGCGCAAGTCACGCAGTTCACGATCAGTTCCGATCTCAAATTTGTGCGTCCGCAATAAGACCAGGACGACCGTTCGGACAAAACAGTTGCTCCATTTCGAAGGGCACTGGAGAAAGCCATTCACAACTTCTACTCTGATCCCTTCAACAGCCATATCCATCTGCTCTCCTGAGGCAGGATGGTGATGTGGCCCGCTCGGAACACTGAGCTTGCAAACCATCAAAGGCGCTCTTGGTGACTCCCTCAGTGGCTTTATCCACACAGCGTGTCTTTGCTCTACGTAAATTTATCATGACATTGGTAGAACATTTAGTCTGCAACAATAATGAAATGGCGTTCGTGTTCGTGAGAAGCGTAGTCACTATTCCAGCACGACATCGGTTTTTGTACAACGAAAATTTAGCCAGCGACACCAGGCGTTTGTACCTCTGAGCTTCATGCTGTTGAATGACGGGGATTGTATCGTTCAACTGGTGTCATGTCCGTTTCGTTGCTAAATACCTTGAGATTCACTGCAGTCCAAGT